GACTCTGCTCCGCCCTGGAAAGGGAGCTTTTGGGAAAAGGGTGGAGGGATTGGGTGGAAGAGGAGGGAAGGACAGAACAAAACAGGGAACAGCACTCCTGTGCAGGGACTGGAATAGCATGGGTGCTCAGAAAATATTAGGACCACTGAGGCCAGTGAAGCTAATGAGTGAGGCTTATGTCAAACTCACTACCAGTTCAGAAACCTGACGATGTCACAAATAATACCTTCCCCTTTCTTGCTTATTAGCAACAAATGGTCTTCAGCACTACTGACAGTGGTATTTGCTGAGTGTCCGTGCCCATGGGCTGCCTCAGAGGGGGAAGAATGGGGGCAGGAGGGATATTTAGTAAACTGTCAGCTCTTCTGAAGAGTTAGAGACACAGGTGCTCTGCTTAACTGACTATCCAAGGTACCCAAAAGTTATCATACATTCCCTGTAAGGATTATCAATTTTTAACAAATGTGAGTATAAAAAAAAATTAAACACTTCATTGAACCCAATTTTATTTTATGTTTAATCCTCACCTGAGGATATTTTTTTCCATTGCTTTCCAGAGAGAGTGGGAGGGAGAGAGAGAGAAAGAGGGAGAGAGAAACATCAACAGGAGAGAGTCACATCCATCGGGTTGTCTCCCGTAGGGCCCTGACCAGGGCCAGGGATTGAGTGTGCAACCAGGATAAGTGCCCTTGGTCGGAATGGAACCCGGATCCTTCGGTCCATGGACCGACACTCTAACCACTGAGTCGAACAGGCTAGGGCACTGAACCCAATTTTAAAGACATATTTGTCAAGCCGCTATATAATGGGTAAGATATACCATACACTGTTCTAAACACTTACAAGTACTAATTTAATCCCCATATCTACCCTAGGAGTTAGGTGCCATTATTGGACCCACTCCATAGATGAGTAAACTAAGGCATAGAGTGGTTAAGCAATTTATCCAAAGCCACATAGCTCGTAAACAGCAGAAACAGGATTTGGACCCAGGCAGCCTGACGTCAGGGTCTATGCCCTTATCCACGATGTCAGGCTTTTTCTTTAAAGTGGAAAAAGGTCCCAAGGTCCTGGGTTCCAAAGCTGCTTCCCCTCAGAAAGAAGCAACTTCCACTGGCTCATCCCTGCCCCTCTCTAAAAATCCAAGCTCTTACTGTACCTTAGACTAGCAACATGGCTACCAACACTGAGGATCGTGGCACAGTTCATCCTTTCTTTCAACAAATTCTTATTAAGCACCCACGATGTGCCAGGTACTGTTCTAAGTTCTATTTATAACCAAAGAAACTATAGGAGACTGAACAAATTTGGATCAATTCTTCGATACCTCCCAAAAGTTATTTAAGAAGTCAAATCTTATCATTACCTCTCTGTGTCTCAGAAAGATGTCTACATCTCAGGAAGATGGGAAAACAATAAAGCAACTGATTACTCAAGTTTTCTAGCTCCTTGGATTCCAGATAATTGAGTGTTTTCTGCTATTGGAGGCAACTTTCAGAAGCAGATCAAAACGGAAAGCAGAGGACAGGATAAAGATGAAAATATGTGAGTCCAACTCAGCTCAGAACTTGAGTTTAATTGCGATTCCAACTGCCACTCTCCCCTGCATTCCTTTGTCCCTGGCTATGACCAAGTTCATGGCTCTGTCACCCTTGGTAATCCCTGTAATGGGCTGCAATCCTGGGGAAGCTGTTTCTGTTTACTAATGGCCAACCTCTGAGTCACATGGAGTGTAGCCAGTGTGGCTTCTTGCCCTGGCAGCCGATGGGCCACTTTTCTGTTTAAAAAAATCCCTATCTCTCTTCCAGGAGAGAGAACGGGAAGAGCAGGCAAGGGCTGTGGAAGAGCCAGAGACATAGAGGTGCTGGGTGCTGGAAGTGAGGGCCCCTTCAGGTCACGAGCTCCTTGAGAGTAGGATTCACACGTGTGTTACCCTGGCAATCGTAACCAGTTTATATGGCTTCACTGCAGTTCCAGGATGGTGCCACAGTTACAGCTGCCCATGCTGCCACCACTGTGGACAGGTGGGAGAAGGGGTGAGGGGACCAAAAGGGGCAATAGGCAGGTGTGAATGAACAGGGCCAGGTAAACAGCAGAGCGGGCTTCCCCAAGGGTCAGGAATTCTCAGCGCTTCAGACCCCAGCTAAGGTGTCGGGACCAGGCTGTGCCCAAAGCAGTTCTCTCAAGCCAACTGCCCACAGCCCCACTGTCTGTTTCTTAGAGCTGGGAAAACATTGCAGCAGCTGCGTATTTAGAGACCCTGTCCCCTAGCTCCTGCCCCACCCCTTCCTGCATCTGTCCTCTAGTTAGAGTTGTATGAAGTGGAAGGCAATTTGGGGCTTATTAGTGTCCCAGGGAGACATGTAACTTGTGTTGCTGCGACCCAAACAGCAAGAGTCTTAGCGGCAAACTCCAGCCGAGAAAAGACTGAGGAATTGTCTCACCTAATTACAGGGAACGGCCCTCTGTGTTTGTGACTCGGTACGGTTGTCCGATCGCTTTTGATCGCTTTTCTCCATTCGCTGGCTCAGGCCACGCTGGAATTGTGCTAATTAGAAGAGAAATGGACAGAGTGATCCTGTCAGCCCTGGTTACTGGTGGGGACAAAGCGGAATATTATTCTGAGGCAGTGTTTTGTGAGGGCCCTTCTTCCAGCTCTCATTAGGAGGAAGGGGCCCACAGGAGGGGAAGGTTCCGAATGCCTGGCCTGGCTAATGGAGCACTGGGGTGCTTGTGTGCTAATTAACAGGCTCTGCCAGCGCTCACCAACCAGGAGCCTTGTGGTTGCACCTGATGCCACCTGAAGCCCCCAACCACCCCTGCTCATGAAGAAAAAGTGTTGAGCAAAGGGTGGGAAAGCCAGTGGCCTCTTTAGGCCAGTCAGGGATACATCCCCAAATGCCCCAAAGCCTAAATAGACAGTAAAAGTCAGTTACAGGCCAGTCAGAACTTAAAAACTTGGGAAGACCATTGTCTGCCTACTCTCTGAATGTAGTGGTTCCTCTGGTGACATGAAGCCCATACTGGGGTCAGGTAGTCCTGCAGCTCTCAAAGGATGAAAAAATGACTGGAGAACGTAACCAAATGCTTGAAGATGGAGTCTGTGCAGAAGCTGAGAGCTGGTAAGAATCTGTGTTATCTGATCCCTGGGACCATCCACCTTGGACTGTCTGCCAATTTCCCCACTTCCTGCTCTGCCAGTTGACCTTCCTGTGATGCTTCAATCCTAGAGGAAACAAAAGGGACCACAGCATCCCATCAGAAATGATCCTGCCTTTATCACAAAGCTCCTATGGAAGTCCAAACACCCTTTGGAAGCCACAGGGAAATGGAAAAGACACTGGAGCTAGAAACTAGCTCCTAGAAGACAGAGCACCCAAACCAAGGAGCAGTTAGCAAGTGTCCATTTTAAAAATGTGATAAATGGGTAACAAAAGGCAAAGAAAAATTAATGATGGCATTGTGATATCAACACAATAGATATCCTGTGAACATGTATATATATATATTATTATTTTTTAATTGATTTCAGAGAGAGAAAGGGAGAGGGAGAGATAGAAACATCAATGATGAGAGAGAGTCATTGATCGGCTGCCCCCTGCATGCCCCTTGCTGGGGATCAAGCCTGAAACCCAGGCATGTGCACTGACCGGGAATTAAACTGGGATCTCCTAGATCACAAGTCTATCCGCTGAGCCACGCTGCCTAGGCATATCCTGTGAACTTTTAGTGCTCAAACAATGGAAGAAAAGCTAAGCAAATCAGCAGAAGCCTAAAACTGAGACTGAAGTGAGCAAGAAGCAATGAGCTTGCTGGTGAGAAAGGATTTAAGAATTTAAAATGTGCCTCCAAGAGCCAGTGCTCTGCTTCTCAGGATAGTGCTGCTCACAGCCAACAGATGAGCTATTAGGATGGTATTCAGAGTGGAAAAGGGAAAGGGAAAACAAACCTGTGGGCAAATAATACTTAGTTATTGGAAAAATAACCTCTAAATATTTAGAAAAGAATATTCACATGCTGTCCCTTTTCAGTAAGTCAGTCAGTCAGCCATGATTTCTGGATCACAGAAACCTATGGTCCATCCAGATGTTTTCTTGAAAATCAGGGATGAGCTAATGATGCTTAGCGATTTGCTTTCCTTAAAATGGGATGTTCTCTAAAAGGGCATTGATAGTTTTATCAATGGGTGACAGTAGTAGTACTGATTAATACTTCCTCTTCTCTAGCTCTTGAACAGAGTTGAAAAGGAGCTCATACTAAGGATTTTAGTAGGTGGCAGAGAAATATTTGTTTTCAATCCATATTTAACAGGGAGTGTACACATAGATAGGTTTTGAATTCCCCAGTTCAAAGAAGATATTGAAGAATCAGATGTGTAGGAGTCAGCCAAAACCTCGAGGAGCTTACAATTTAGTAGGGAAAGTGAGATATGGATTTGGATCACCTCAGTGTAAGACGGAGTGTGGCAAGTCACAGGCTGGTATACATAAAGGCTGTAGGAATGCAGGGCGCAGGATTATTTCCAGCTGGATCATCAGGGGTTTATAGGTTTGATATGTGCAAAAGGGATGTGAGACTTTCTAGGAACTCAGTGGCATGGGCAAAGGCACTCAAGTGAGGAACTGGGGATTGTTCAGATTCACTGGAACAGAGACTTCCTATGTTGGAGAGGAAGGAAACCCAAATGGAGGGTCAATTAGGATTACATGCAGAGAGTTTAAGACGCCAGGATGAGAGATCTAGACTTTATTAGTAGAAATGGGGAAGTGTTAAAGGTTTTAAAATACTGCTTCAGGGAGTTGAGTGGTAATGAGCTAGATGGCTGGTAGGACAGACTGGAAGCTGGGAGACCATGTAATAGATGACCATAAAGCCCTACATCACCCACTGTCACATGAAGAGGAAGACAGTGGATTATTTGTCATTACAGTTGCACTCTCTGATGAGATCTATGCTTTAAATATGCAACTTGGCTCTTCCAGAAAAAACTCACTCTCCTATAAAAGTGACATATTTATTATGACGACACAGAAGACTTCATATACAAAGTACAACCCTCCGACACCCTGAAATACATACATGCACACATTGTACATACATTTATATTATCAATATAAAAACACATCATTAACATTTCTGACATATAAAACCAATAAATATCTCAATTCTAAAACATCTACTTACATTAAGTGCTGGTGACTAAGACGACAGTAAAAGGAAGAGTCCAAAGCAGACTAAACCCCAGCTACATAGCTTTAGGTTACAGATGAGCCGGTTTGGGGAAGGTATCCCAATATACTCCATATATTTCTCAATTTCCCCTTCTGACATCATCAACTCTCAAAAACAGAGCAAAAAAAGTTTGATATTATGGCACTATTTTTTGTGCATACACACACTCTTTAACCACATTTAAAGATAAAGGAATGTCATTAATAAGCTTAGCCTAAAAGCACAGCCTCTGCAGCCTAACCTTCTGTATAGCACCCAAGCAAAAGGGTTTCCTTCTCATACTCATCCTTTGCGCCTTGTGTTCAATTTTTCCTTCTTGCCAATAAGTAAAACTGCATGGATGGTCAAATGGCACAAATGAGAGAAAACTCCAACGTTAATTCTAGCTGGGAAACAAGCACACATGTCAGAAAGTGGTTAATGGGCCAGTTATTAAATTGAATAGTGCTGCACGCTAGCACAGACAACCAGGGCCAAAAACTTGACCAGAATTTTCCTTGTGTCCAAATACCATCAGACTACTGCCCATAGATGTTCTTTTCACAAAGTTTAGGAAACTCCATGTATCTTGGCTAGCTTATAAGACAAAATATGGAGAACATGTGTAATAACTATTACCCACAGGCTAGATTTTCAGGTTTCAACAGAGACAGATAATTGGCAGATAGCCCCATAAGAGTTATATTTAAGTCAGGAAATTCTCTTTTTCTTTCATGTGTGTTTCAGTCATATGGGTGAAATATCTGATATGTGCTGTGAGAGGGGACAAGGGGGGAAATACATTGCCACCATTCCACAGCACGCACATTCCTTTGAGGTCAATCAGAGTTTCTAGTTTTTAATCAAATGGGAACTCCTGCAGTCAATCCCCTTTTCCTATCTTCAGGCCATACTGTCTCGCTTGAATCTGTAACAGATTAACTAGAACTCAAAAGTCCTTTCTGTCACCTTTAAATTGGTCTTGAGGTCCAAAGCAACCTTGCAGGGGCCTTTTACTGCACAAGCTAATTCCAGGAAGGACTTGATACACAGGGATTCCCTTCGCTGGAGTCAGAATGGATGGTGGGGGCTAGGAGTTAGGGAATGGAGGGCATTAGGGTATGGGACTATCATGAGAGGTATAGAATTTAAAAAGCAGGCATACATTTCTAGAAGATTCTGGTTTCTCCAGCTGGGGATTCTTGGAATCTAGCAATACACTGGAGAGTACACAGATCAATCTGCATGGTCTAGTCCAGAATCTAATTGGTCTCTGGGCTCCTCGAATCATAAATACTTCCTAAGAGATCAAGTACAACTCATGCAATCACTGTCACAACGTACTTTGCCATCACTGAATCAGATCCCAGGGCTCCTGAATCACTTCTGGAAATGAGAAAGCAGGACTTTGACCTTTAAGAATGATATGCTCTCTGGTGTTACCAACATCTGAGGTGGAGATGGTCAAAGTCTGGAAGCTGACTGAATAACTGCAGTGATCCTTGGGTAGAACAGATTCTTCTCTTGCTGCCGAATGTCCTCAGAGGCGCAGAGTGCCAGGAGCAGGGGAGAGGGTCAGCCCTGGAGGTGCGCCCTCCAGCCTCTCGCCGGGAAGCAGTGAGGTGAGCATCATCAGAGCTGCACTGGGAGCGAAGCTTGGTTCCAGCCCCCGGGGCATCCTGTCCACACACTGTGGCTACTTCTTGGGTTTCTCTAGAATGTTGAGGAACTTCCCCCTTGTCATTTCTCTGGCTGAAATCACAAAGCAAATAAACGATCAATGAAGACCTAAAATCTGAAAAAAAGATCACAGGAAGATTTCATTTAAAAATGCAGATTAATTAAATTGTATACAGGGGATCACAACAGATTCAATCACCACAAACCTCCAAAAAAGGGGGGAAAACAAACCACTATTGACAATTAAAACTTTACAAAGTTGGAGGGGGTCAATGGGGGGAAAAGGAGAACATCTGTAATACTTTCAACGATAAAGATAAATTAAAAACAACTGTACAAAGTTGTTCGGAAGTTGTTAATTGCTGTAAGGCACAGGTCAGCTGGGGAGGACATCATTCACCCTCAAAGAAATCACCAGGGAATTCCCCCCAAACCTCTCTCTCTCTCTCTCTCTCAAGAATGTAGCCTAATACTAATGTTCACTGTCTCACGGGGCTTGCTCTTGGAAGCTAAAATCCAACCAAGATTACAGTCTTCTCTGGGTTGTTGGTCTCTGGACATTTACAATCTCAAATCAAAATTAGAGACCATTTACCCCGTCCCTCAGTGGCAGCCCCTGGATACTGTAATATAACAGGGTTTATATTCCCTCAGTGCAGTTCATCTGTGGATGGAGCGATAAAGTAGGGTTTATAGAGCTTTGGTCTTCCCTCTCTTGGCATTGTCAATCCTTAGATATTTAATATAGCCAGGCAAGGTTTATGTGTCTTTCTCTGACTTTCAGCACCATCAATCTTTGAATGCTGTAGTTACAAGAGGGTTTATACAGCTACTTTCCTACATATGAGGCTCCGAAATGAAAGTAAAACATTTCTCAATTACAAGGGTCACTCCAGAAGCCCCCTTTTTAGCTCTGTCGAGTGAATCCTCAAAAATGGTACGTAGCCTAAAACCTCCTTCACCCTCAACCCCGCGATCAGCTTTTCAGATCTCTTAAATGGATTTAACAGTGCTGAAAGTTTAGGAAGGCTTGTCCTGGAGGCCAGAAGGGGCTCCCACTCTCCCCATCCCACCAAATTTCACAGTTCCTGGTTAATTTGTACAATGAAATAAAACAGTACAAACTCTGGAACCACAAGAAGGCTTTTGGTAACTGCAGTCTATATACATTCCCCATTTTTCACAAGTTCCTGAGCTCCAATAAAGAGAAAGGAAATCCCATTAACTAGGAAAGGAAGTCCCAGTGCTGGGTCTGGCTTCATGTGCCCACAACCCCTCCCTGTCTCAAATCAAACTTGGTGGATTTATACCAAACCCTATATATACAAATTTCCTATCGGATCTGCAATTACTTGTTTATATACTTGTTTTCCTCTGCTGAAGTGTAAAAACAGAGGGCAGAGGCTCTTTTATTATTCTTTATATCACCAGTACCTTGCACAGTGCCAGGCCTAGCGTCTGCTGAATAAATGTGGGCTGGATGAATGATGTACAAAAGCACCAGAACCAGATAGGGCCGCGACAAAGTTAGTTTCTTCCTTTCCACAGACAAACAGTAAGACTTGTTAGTGGCCCTTGGTGCTCCATTCTCTATATTGTGGGGCTCTTTTAAAATTTACCTTGCTTAACGAGAAAAATAATTTCCCTTGATGGAAACAATGATAGATTAATGGAGAGATCGGGGTGGGGAGTGGGAGGGGTAAGGACAAGAGCTATCTACCCAAGAGGAATTCAAACAACAGGTGTGGGCCAGGCAGGTACTTGAAGCAGCGGGGGAGGGGGCGTGTGTGCGAGACCACTCTGCCACTGCAGGATTTTCTAACCACTTTGCTGTACATCTGAAATTAATACAGAATAATACTGAATGTAAACTGCAATTGATAAATTAAAAAAAAAAAAAAATGCTCTTGCCCATGGGAGGCAGCGTGACTTCTTTCAGAGAACACAGGATTTGAACTCAGTTTAAGTTCCAGTTCCAGCATTTAACTGCTGGTGTGCTGGGTATGAGTCTGTTTCTTCCTCTGTAAAATGAGTAGCATATTAATGTCACCAGCCCTGCCCTCTTGGATCTTCAGCAGTGAACATGCTTGGTATAGTGGTAGCATTAATACAACATCTCTCAGAGGAGGGTAAGTAGCCTGTTGCTTCTCTTGCACTAAATATTTCCTGAGTGAACAAATGAATTAACAAGTGAAAGGGAGGCTAGCTAGCAATCTTAAAAATTCCATTCCTTGGGATCTCTTCCCTCAGCCCGATCCTATAGACATTGACTTACACTTTTGGCTCAAGTGGGTCTCATCACTTATTTCTGCTGGATGGGTTTTCTGCCTACTCTCCAGTGCTTTATTAAGGAACTAAGCACAGCATCAAATGATCCTGCAACCTGGATAGAAGCAGGTGCTCTGGAAACCAGACATGGGTAACACAAAACTCTGCTGGGTAGAACAGAGTCTTGTTCCAAAACTCCAGGCCCAGGAGCACTCTACAGATCTCACTAATTATTTCTGCCTGCTGCCCTTCAGATTCCCCAATTCTTTATTATTTTCCCCCCAAATGGGAGAATGAACAAGATTTTAAGACTTAAAATTTAAAAAGACCCAATCTATTCAAGGTATTAAAAGGATTTAAAAGAAAAAATTAAATGGATATTCCAAAGTCTCTCAGTTGCAAGCGCATCTTGAATTTAACCAACCCTTTTTAACAACCCTTTTCCCACTCAATCATTCCTCCCCCTTCAACCTAATCTAAGTACACAGAGCTGCAGGAAACCACCGTAAAAGTAGAAGTAATTCAAAAGACATCATCTTCTACATGGGAGGGGAGAAAGTTTTCCTACTCGCCAGTCCTATATAGGAGATATACGAATTTGTGACATAGCTGCTCCCTAAAAGAGGGCTGTACCCTATAAATCACAGCCTAAGCACCAGCCCCTTTTTGTGCACAGAGAAATTGCTGTGGGTCAGGGGCTGCTCCAGAGCATGTGCCCTCCTGTTCACTTGTCATCAGAGATGTTAACATCTCTGATTAATTCACATACCCCTTATTTGATTCCTCATTTCTTTATCCTTGCTCTCCTGCTCTGCTGCAGTGTGAAGATTCTTACCGACCTGATACAGTAATCACCGCCTGCTAACTGCACCCCCCTAAACCTAGTGAAATTGTTTAGTGATGCCAACCGCGCTTTTAATTTGCAAGACATCAGACACAGAGGTAATTTATACCAACATCTGTTCATTTTTGACTTCTGAAACAAACTCGCACATGCTGCTACAAAATCCCATTAGGAGTAGGGAGACAGCCTTCTGCTACAATTCTGTATTCTTCTTCTACACACGCACACACACACCCCCCTACCTTCCAGTAGGGTTTTATATGTAAATGCACTTTACTAAAAAATTTTGACCAAGGATTTCAAATCTCTGTGGGGAAAAACCTTTAGAGATGTCAACAGTTTGCTTACGGAGGAGAGGAAGATATTTCTATTTCCCCGCTAGTTCCATCCCTTCTTTTTCCCAATAGTTACAGCTTGGTAGCATTCTCCAGTTAATGGCCAGGGTGAGAGTGCATGCTCCTCAGCTTGGCACTTCTAGTTCCTCCCTTCTCTCATGGTCCTTTCTTTCTATAATGCTCTAGAAGACAATCCTAGAAACAATACAACTGCTAGAGAGAGTTTTATCTAGAGTCAATAAAATTACTTAACTGTTTTCTAATTCTGGATTAATTCTCTAGGATTACAGGTTCAACAGGAGGGCAACACGCTACCACATTCTAATAACTATGCCAAGAGGGATCCACTGGTCACCAGCCACCACAGTGTGTGCTGTGCAGAAGAGAAGCATGACCTCCATGTGGTCATGATTTACGGACCCTCCTACGCAGCACAAGACCATAAACTGAGAAAGCCACAATAGAGACTGTCACCATAGGGGGAACATGTGAATTGCTGCAGAGTGTGGGAGAGGGGACCACTTGTACACATTTAAAGGCAGCAAATGGATACAGTACAATCAACTTCCAGGTTTATGCTGTTTCCATTATCCCCTTCACAGTTTCCCTGGGACTGTCAGGTTCACGGCAGCTGTAAATACCTGGGAATACTCAGAGAGGTCAGGGCTGAAGGGAGGACTGCATCCTGCTTGCTGTGAAGGTGCTGTGTGGTTTAATATAATGTCTTCTTTAGACTCTCCAATTCCTCCATCCTACATTTAGCCTTGCCTCTGGCTCCCTTTCCACAATGACTATCCCTCCAAACTGCCTCCTCTGCAGTAAATTTTCTGGTGGCTGGTTGAAAAAGAATCAGTGGCACAGATTGATTTCTCACCGGTGAGGGGATGAGGGATTACCAGAGGCACCCTGGCTAACGAGATTGGGTGCAGAATCTCTCACGAGACCAGCCCTCTCTGCCAGGGCTTTGCACCTTTCGCCCATGACATATGGGTTTCATTACAGAAAGACTTTCCAGATTATAACTTCGAGGCAATTGCCTGATAAAATTCTGCTTGACTTTAATGTAGGGGACAATGTTAAGATTAAATAACTTTTAATGAAATGGAAGAATCTCATAATGTTTGGTTTTCAATTCCAATGCAAACTCCTTTAAATATTTCTGTGCCTCAATGTAATTAAAAACATTAGCGAGGTGGAGCAGGGTTACAATCCACTGGCTCTCTCACATCCTGAAGAGCAACAACAGGCTGTATTTGGGAGGCTCTAACATGAGTGGCCAGGACACAAAGGAGACGGCATAACTGTGGAAAGAGCAGGGCTTTTAGCATTAGACAGGCTTGGACTTGAACCCCAGCTCCTACACGGACCCTGCTACTTAACAGCTCCTACACTTAACTACCACCGAGGGCAAGTCACCCAAGTCATCTTCCTAAGCTTCAGTTTCCTCATCTGTTCAAGGTGGGATTAATATAAAGGTCACACAGGCATTCAGTAAATGCGAGCTACTGTATAATCATCTCTTTCATTTCAAACAAGGAGTTTATTTAAGCAACAAGACACTGGATGGGAAAACGATCTAGGATTAATTTCTTTTACACTAATTTATCCCTCCTAAAGCCATATTG